ATATAAAAAAAAAAAAAAAAGGATGTACCAAAAAATGTTCCTAAATAACACATTTGGCTTTGCATTTCCCTTATCTAACTAAACTTTTTGACCATATTTATTTTCTTCAGTCAAGATGGACCATATCAGCCAAATTTTAACATTCTCTGTAAAAAAACAGAATTTCCTTACCAGTCCACCCTTTAAAACACTAAGGGTGGGCTTAGCTGAAATTTAATGTGTTGAGTTGAATAAAAATAAAGACCATGGATGTAGTTTTATAAATGTTAATGATGTCTTTCTTTCAGCTCTAATCTCTATTTCAAAAAGTTCACAATTGTTATAGCATCTGCTCTGATGATATATTTTGCTGTTGTTTTATTCCTGTTAATGCTTTTTTCCTTTAATTCTATTTTGCCCTAGCTATCTTTTAAAATTTGGTTACTAAATAATTACCTGGTGTACCTTTTTTGTTGTCCTTATTCTCTACAGATCTGTATCATTTTGTTTTACATACATACATTTCTTTAAAGTAGGATACAGTTGAATTTTGTTTTTTGGGTTTTTTTTTTTAAGATTTTAAGTAATCTCTCCACCCAACATGGGGCTCAAACTCACAACCCCAAGGTCAAGAGTCCCACACTGCTCCGACTGAGCCAGCCAGGCGCCCCAGTTGAATTTTGTTTTTTATTCATTCTACTAGTTTCCGTCTTAAGCTAATAATAATCATGCTTACATTTGAACTAATACATCTCAGGTTGTGTTTTCTTCATCATCTTTTTTATTCACTTCTTCATTTCCCTCTTCCTGCCTTTTATTGAATTTATAGGATTTCCTATGTCCCAGCTTTTATCTCCCATGGAAAGTTTGGAAAATGGAGATTTATATTATTTTTAAATATATAACATACATATCAAACTATAACTTTAACATATTTAACTATTCAGAGGGCTTTTTTTTTTCTTTGCTTTACTAAAGTCATGGCCCCTACTTAGTTATTTGTATTTTGTAATCTATTGTTGCTTACATTTACTGACATATTTTACTAATTGCTCTCTTTATTGCTGTGTGGCTTTTTTCCTATCTCATGTCAGGTCTCTTTCTTCCTGATGAGATACAACCTCTAACAGTGAAGGCCTCTGATTGGTGAAAGTCTGTGTCTTTATTTGTCTGAAAACGTCTCTATTTTATATTCAATCTTGAATGATAGTCTGGACGGGTATCAAATTTAAAGTTGATAATCGTTTCCATCAGTATTTGAAGTCCATTGTTTTCTGGCATCTGCTGCTGCTGAGAAGTCCCTCTCATTGTCATGCCTTTGCCAATAATCTGTCTTTTCTCCCTGGAAATCTCCATCATATTCTCTTTGCTTCTGATATTCTAGATTTTTACTCTGATGTCAAGTCAGAGATATATTTTAGTTAACTATATTAGCATTTGTTGGTTGCTTTCAATCTGAGGACACGTGTCTTTCTTTAATTCTGGAAAGCTTTTAGCCATTAGATCTATCAGTTTATCTACCACATGTCTGAACTTCTGTTTCATATTTTTACTCTGGTCTCTTGATGCTGCATTCTAGGTAATTCTTCAGTATTGGCCTTCAGTTCATTGATTCTCTATGTCTAGTCTAGTGTTTAAATCATTTATTAAGTTTTTAATGCCAATAACATCTTTTATTTCCAAAGTTTTAAATCAATTCTTAGTCATGTCTACATGGCCTTGTTTTATTACTGCTTGGTTTTGTTTCCCAATCTTTTGTTCTTGTTATGAATATTCTTCCTATACTTATCTCTTTGAGCATCTAAACTTACCTATGTTAATGTGCTTCTCAGATTGATAACCTGTTTTGACTCCTGGACTTCATTCACATTCATTGTCAATTTTGTTTTCTTAGCATCAAATATTTTTGTCTATTTTACAAACCAAAAAAGCCTTTTGAAGCCTATAGATTTGTAGGATCATTTTGAGGTGTTTATTTGGTTCTTTGTTCTGTTTTTATGTCTCCCTTCCTCTGTGTTCCAGACTCCATGCCCCTAAGTTTGGAGGGCTGTGCTCATCCACCTGCCTGTATCCCCTGCTCGGGGTTAGGTCTTGTGTCAATATTCTGCTCCCCCCCCTCCCCAGGAGGTGATATCTGCCACACTCTTGGTCAATAGGAGGCTTCATGAGGCTCATTGCCCCACTGTGTCGGTGCTCTCCCTTGGTCTACCACTTGGTCTGTTAGCGGCAGTTTT